TAGATTCTGACTTTGAGGAAGATTGCTGAACTTTCATATGATCACTGGAAACTAATGAATGACATAAACTGTAATTGCATCTTTTGTACACTGGAGAGAGAGATTAAAAATTTTATCCACACTGAGACGTTTGTTTTGAAGGATTGATTTCATCTCCTTCAACAGTCCTTTCTCCTTTTTCTCGTGTTGTCCAATATTATTTTGGCTTTTTCCTTATTATTATTATCTCCAGTGCCAGTTAATCTTCTGGTAGAGTGAGTGTCTTCTGTGAGGCTTAATTTTGAAGTGCCTCTTCTTTTTCATTGGATCCTCAAGTTTAAATGTTGGTGAACTGGTATCCAAGAGTTGTGAAATATGTGTCACAAATATAAAAGGCTTAAAAAGGAAGTGAGTGCCAGGTCTTCACCCCTTAGACCTGGTGAGGTGTCTGACTGCTCTGAGGAATGGGGCTCCAGTGCTGTATAGCATTTCCAAGTCAGGCTTTGCACCATCCTCTGCTGATTTTGCCTAAGATCATCACTGGGTCTGGCCAAAGTTTCAAGTTATTCACATCGCCTTAGTACATGAATTTTTTAATATCTATATTTTTTAGAATTATTTATTTTAATTTTATTCATCATCATTATTATTATTTAATTTACTACAGATCATATGCACTCACTAGAAAAAGATGAGAGAGAGTGAGAGGGGTGAGAAAGCAAGCCACCAGGTCAGGGACTCAAACTGTGGTCAGTCATGTGGGAGTTCTGTGCCTTAACCACCATGCCACCTGCTGGGCCAAATATAATAATAATAATTATATATATAAACACAATTCAATCTCTGCATATCATTATGAACACCCAAAAAGCATATGATAAAAAATGTTTAACATCTCTTATCATAAGGATGATGTGGGGCCAGGAGGTGGTGGGGTGGTTAAGGGTACTGGACTCCCACACGGCCAACTGTGATTAGAGTCTTGGACCTGGTGGCTTGCTTTCTCACTTTCTCTCTCTCCCTCTCTATCTCTCTCTCTTTCACTGTCCCTGTCTGGTCAAATTAAAACAAATAAATAATAAAATAAATAAAATTAAATAAAATAATTCTTAAAAAAAGGGAGATATAAATCAAAATTATGATGAGATACCAACTAACCCCATTCATAATAGCTAAGATTTAAAAAAATAAAGAATGATAAGTGTTGGCTCACATGGACACTTTTAAATTTTCTTTATTTTATTTTTTACTTTAAATATTTAATTACTATACATCACTTAGCTTGTAAAGTGAATTTTCTCAGTATAAATACACTTCACACCAGTCCAGTTGAGTATAGAATATGCATTATCATCAACAGATAATAATCCATTTCTGTTTCCCATAAATGTCTTGCCTCTCTATTTTTCTCCTTAATTCCTTTCCTCACACTCTCCCTCTTCTCTCACCCTCGTCCTACACTTTCCTTAGTTTCCTTTTTTTAAATTACGTTCATTTACTTTGTATCATTATAGCATATCAAATGAAATTTCCCATCCTGAATACACTATATATGTTGGTTCAGTCAAAGATATACATTATCACCAACAGATTTTTTAAATTTTCTTTAAAATTTATTTTATACATTCAATTACTGAAATAAGAACTACACATAGAGAAACATACAAATGAGTGAAAGTAGTATAATTAGTAAAGTCTGAATACACTATATGCATTTTACACATCACTTTTCTGATTTTGATAGCATACTATAAATACAAAAAATGTTAACACTGAAATAGGCTGAATAAACTGTGCTGCGTGTTTCTTTACTAATTCCTCTTCTATAATTATTTCAAAATAAAAATCTTTTGTTTAAAAAAAGAAATAAATAAAATTTATTTTAGACATTCAATTACTGAACATAAACACGGTTTGCAAAATGAATTCACCCAACATGCGCACAGCCCACACCAGCCCTGTTAGAGCTGTCATACACATGGTCATTTCTGTGTCCTTTAAACATTTTGCTTCTTCCTTTTCCCCCTGATTTCCTCTCTCTCACCACCCATATGTTTCAAGGTATGTACATACTTGCCTGTGCACACTGTTGCATGAGGGTGTAAGTGGAAGCACTTGCGTGTGTGTGTGTGTGTGTCTGATGTCCACTATTGCATGTTATGCATGTGTTTATACATGTATGCATGCACTCAGTTGTTTAATCCCACAAAGCATCTCTCTGTGAGCTCAGGAGCTTGCCATGACACTAGCCCCATCTGGAAGCTGCTCTGGAGCAAAACTACACACACGTGGGTCACAACCTCCCCATTCCCTCTTCAAATCCATGGGCCCTGGAAGTACCCAGAGTGACTGACACTACATCCCAGAACACTACAACATCAGGCCGAGTTAGAGTAACAAGTTTATTCTTGCCCTTCGAGACAGCCTGTGACAAAGGTTGTGAATCTCTGGACCCAGAGCCAAACCCTCCCATCAGCTCAAGCCCTCAGAAAGGTTCTGTAGCCTAACCAGACTCATCTCTCAGTGACCTAGTGGGTGAAATTTCTACACAAAAATAAAAGAGAAGGTGCTTGTTGTTATTTAATTTAACAATGTATCATGCCAGGGACTGAGCTCTGCACACCCCCAGTGAGGCTCATGGACACAGTGGGGCAGTGGTCAGAGTCTGAGGCTGCAGAAGACTGGAGCACAGAGAAATGAGTGTGGGGAAATGTCCTCCACCCCGGGGATATGCTTGCTGCACCTCAGATCTCAGCAGGGTTCAGAGAGGACAGGGACTACCTCCTAAAGATCTTCATACTTGGCATTTCCATCCTAAAAATTAATCCTCCTTGGGATTCTGGAAAATATTTGTATCAGCACAAACATATCTAATACACAATGATTCATAAGAAGATGTCTTAGTGTTATTCAAAACTGAGTTTGAAAGGAAAATGTCATGACCAAGAAAATGATATAAGATGGAGCATTAAACTTATATAAAAGAAAGCCCAGGGTTGGTAGAAACATAACTTTAAAAGGAGATTTTACAGTGACAAGGTAGGTTAGGCAAGTCCAACAGATGATTGTCCTGGAAGACAGACCCATGCTCAGGAAGGAGTCAGAGCCGCCCACCAAGAGTACGCAAGGGGACCTGGGACTGAGGCTCTGTGGGCTCATCCCAGGAAGAGAGTAGAGGGTGATAGGAAGCTATTTGCACCTACACAAGGAGAGCCAGGACTGCCCCTAGGCCAGTCTCCTGTAAGTCCTGCCTTCTCAGGGCCCCGACAGTCTGAGTCCCCATGACTGCCTACACTGTGTTCCAGATCTCCCATATCCATGGTGAGCTCAGTGTCCACACCAACCACCTGGAAAGCTGACCTGCATAATCCCTTCACATGGGTAACCCTGGCAGCACTCCTGCCTCACCCATTGTCTACTTCAGCATTTGGGGCTCTCAGGAGATGCGAGAGGAGCATTCCCAGTGAGGGTGCTGCTGCACACAGACCCGTTGTGGTGGTGAAGACCATCCATGTGGATAGGTCTCATGGTGCATAGGGACTTGTTGACTCTTGTTTACTGACTTCAAAATGAACTCTATTGGATGTGTTTTTCTGAAAATGTGCACCATTAAAAATTGTTGCATTGCATTCCTTTTCCATCATCTTTAATACTTTTTTAACTTTATTTTTTACATTTAATCACTATCATTACAGCACACCTAATTAATTCTCCCGTCATGAATACACTGCATATCAGTCTAGTCAAAGACATTACCACAAACATCATAAGCAACACATTTAGTTTGTCTTGTCATAAGCCACATACACTAGTTTTTCAGTGGAATCCCATATTTGCCTTCATCCCCTCCATTGGCCTGCTCCATCCCCCCTGAGCAGGGTCCCTGAA